AGAATTCCAGATCTGAATACTGGTAGGCTCTCACTGCACAAGAGATACAGCAATCCCAGACAATATTTTGGCATTGATGGACTTTGTGAAGGAGGTGTACCTGGTACCCCTCTGAGCAAAGTCAGCAATGGGTCCATGTGTGGATTATCCTTTAACTTTACCGTGGCCCCAGGTAATCTGCATCCATCATACATTAGGAGTTACTAGAGCCGGGGGGCCCAAAAGGTAGATTCTCACGTTTTAAAACCACAGCTTCCATGATGCTTTGACATTCTAAAGGCATTCCAAAGGCATGCAAAGCATCGTGGGATTTGTATTCTACCACATCTGGGGATCTACCATTTGGGCACCCCCGCACAAGAGTATTGGATGCAACAAAACTAAATACACATGAATAAGAAAAAATATATAAAATGGTCACTATATATATTAATATATTTGAGGGCAATGCCTCTATCTAATTATATAGATTCCCTTTCATATCACCTCTTCCAATACCCCATATATCTAAATTTTTATCAAGCCACAAGCAGTTAAATTCTAGGGCACCATGCTAAATCACAAGCAATCCTTACAACAAAAATATAGTTTTCCGTATTTATCTCTTTCCTCCAGCATTACTCCACTTCTCCTCTCATAAACACGCTTCAGACCTTCTTTGTATAAGTTTAATCATAGCATTATGTGTATTTCCTCCACCCTCTCTCTAAATATATAACTGCTCCTATTTCTTCATAGTTTAGCTTTTCCTTGTCCTCTCTCTCCATAGAAGACGGAGGTTTGATCAATAGCTGCATGCTGTGAGCATAGACTGCACACGTTAAGCACACGCTCTCCTGATCAATTCTGCATGTTAAAATCCCTGCAAACCCTCCCTACTACCAAGTAACCACAGCCCAGGCCTCCTGCTACCATCAGCACTTTAACCCTATCAACATCGCAATGCAAAATTCATTCTACACCAAATTCATCCAAATCTGGTATTGAAAAAGCCTATTCAATTATTCTAACTTTATCTGATTCTATAAGTAGTAGATAGTATTTCTTTCTTGATCCTCTTATAATTTCAGCCTATTATTGTATTTATAATAAGCACAATAATAGTATTAATAATATTCTTTTTATATGTACCCATACAATGTTACCCAATATTACATTTTTATTATTATTATTATTATTTATATAGCGCCAACAATTTCTGCAGCGCTGTACAATTGCCACATTTACAAGCATCCTAGTCTATTTCTCAGTAAATGTGTCTGTACACAGAACCAGTGCAACCATTAATAAAAAAAATATATTAAATGCAAGCGCTATATTTAAAGCACATATAATCCTATATACTTTTTATTTAAAAAAAAATTGTTTTAAATGAATCTTCTATACTGAAATTGGACAGAAAAGATAATATGTGCATCATTATTTATATACAGAGATATGCGAAAATGATACATGACCACTAGGTGTGTAATCCGTACATTAAACACAGCTTTAAATAGTTTTGTATCTGATTCATGTTGTCCTCTCCCCCATATTCCCTACTGCCTTTTGGGGAAAGAAGGATGAAATGAACTGAGATTTTTCCTAGGGTAAAAAGTAATCTTTGACCCACTGCATCTGCAGATCGTTGAAATAATAAATGCAAACAATGGTTTTTAACTGAAACACTCCAGCCTTTTAATTGAAAACCCTTATATGCAATGAATTGTATAATTATTATTTATTTTTTTAAAGATACTCACGTGTTGTGTATATGCAGCTCAGATATCAGATTGCAACTGAAAACTGCATAGTTTGTGTTTGCAAGTTTTTGTTTTTTTTATTCATAAATTAAAGAACACCACTGGTAAGTTGATTCATTCATGTTTTGTCATGAATGAAAGTACTAGTAGTCACATCTCAACTTTTCTGCTGCAAGAGTCTACAATGGTTAAATTGGTTAACTCTCCACTCCAGATGTAATGTACTAGTCTCCTTGCTAGTTTGATCCATACCCATTTCTATTGACAACCTATACACTATATGCGGGTGATACTCGAAAAATTTTAATATCGTGTAAAAGTTCATTTATTTTGGGCTTTTCATGAGCTCTAAGCCATAATCATCGCACTTATGACAAATCACGGCTTGAACTATCTTGCTTTGCATGTAATTTGTCTATCTCGTATATTAGTTTTCCCTTTTACGTTGCATTACTGAAATAAATGAACTTTTGCACAATATTCTAATTTTTCGAGTATCACCTGAAAGTAGTATGCTTACTCCAGTTTTCACCACCCCTTACAGCCTTCGTTCTGCTTCTTGCTCCTAACTATTCACCCTTCACCTCTTAAAGGAGAACGGTTGCGTAGTTTTTCTCCTATCAAGCTGTGTATATTTGGCATAACCTGACAATAAATATTAAACCGGCCACCAGTTCCTGAAAACTGCATCCATCTATATTTAATCAAAAATCAACGGCACACATTGTTAATTTGTAATTGTTTTATATGTTTATTGTAAATGTCATAATATATTAATAGTTGTACTGTATAAAATGTATTTGGATATGTCCTACAGTATTTAAAAGGTTACACTAACTCTTTGCAAAAGATCTTGTTTTTTCTGTTTAGAAAGCCCAACTGGGCATTATTAAATGGACACTCCAGACCTATAAAGTACCGTATCTTGCTGAAAAGCTTTATGTGTGAAGAGTGTGTCCTCTTTTTTTTCTATTTTGCAGATTTCCATAGAAGTTGGCACTTTTATAAATTATACTGGTTACACCCCCTTGGTTTTCAGCCAGACAACAGATCTTATTACTTCCTGGTTTGTTTAGTAGAGCTAAACTCAATAGGGAGCAAATTGCAAAGACCTCTCCTTGAGCTACATTGGGAAGTCTATGATTGGACTGCCCCAAAAAGTGTGGGCGGGGTTAAAAGGGGAGGGCTTGCAAAGGCTACAGACAAGAGATCTGCAGGTTTTGCAAGCCATTTTGATATATACCCTAATGAAAAAAATGCATGCAAGTTTTCATTTGGGCATATCTACTAAACAGTGATTTTTATTTATGTTGTGTTGTGCTGTGCTGTGGAGTCGTTCCTTTAAGTCAGGTACCCCACGCTTCTGAACCTGCTTATAAAAAAAAATAAAAAAAAATGACTTTCTTGGAATAAAGCTGGTTCCACATCTCTGTCAACATTACATCTGCTTGCTCTGGTCTATTTAAAGCTTATCAATACTCAGTCAAATGTATGTGTGTGTTGACTGAGTGTTGTGTGTATAAAAGTGTGTAGTCACTGAGTGTTGTGTGTGTGCAGAAGGCTGAAAGCTGTGTGGAGTATGTGCATAGACGCTACACATACAGCCCCCTACCACCATGACCACTTCTAAAAGCAGAAGTGGTAATAGTGATTGGAGTAACCATATAAAAAGAAATATCTCAATGTATACTTCCTGGTAAAATATTTTGTAAATTAATAAATGGTGTATAGTTTTCTTTACACCTTCTTGCTCTAAGTGTGAATGCATGCAAGCCCAATGGTGTCAATCCAAATGTGGCAAACAACCGATATGTGGATGAACAGTGGTAACAGTGTGGATCGGGGATTTGGGTTGTCAGATGAACCAGATGAAGATGAACCAGAGGTAAGTACAAATTTATGAAGTACAAGAATCTGCCATCAAGCAAATAAAAATATGAATAATGTCTTCTACAATGCTCTATCAAATTGATTGTACTGTATTACGTACATTAAGTATCCTTTTGTTTTTTCCTTCCAGTTTTTAATTTTATGCATAGTTTTTATTTCCTAGCATAGTACTTAATTTTTCTAACTCAGATTTTTCTCTATCTGTTCCATCTCAGAGCTCCTTTAGTGCCTTAACGTATGATCGAAGCCAGACTAACATAGGGGCTGTTGGAGCGGAAGCTCTGGGCCATGCTTTGAAATAAGCTCAAAGCAGCCACAAGATATTATTATAGGCTGATGCCCCTAAAGTGGTGGTGCAATGTACCACACTGTATTTTGTATTTTATTTCTGGTTTTACATACTCACACTTTGCTAGAATCTGAGTTTAATTTGCACAACCTCAAAAGCAGATATGTGACATCACAAGCACGCACGACAGAGAATCCAGAGGTTGTGTGGACCAATAGCGGGTTAGCGATATGTCACTTATGTAGTCCATAAGGGCTATGGCAATGTAAATGTAAATTCAGTTTCTCTCATTAAGACCATCACATTTTCAGCTCCAGGCCTATGAAGCTCTAAATTCAGCAATGCTTAGGATAGCAGAACACATCTTGTTAGACTGTATTCACTATTGATTCTGCAAGTAGCTGTGTCTCCAGGCTAAGGCGGAGGGGATGGGGGGACAGGTGCTGAAGGACCCTCTCGCTTGCTGCTTCTTCATATTATTATTTTTATTACACACATTATTTACCATAGTGAGTTAATAGTACAACAACGAGGAGAAAGAAAATGTCAATTGATGATTCAAAGAGTCTGGGAGCTTAGTGACTCTACTCACTGAATGTCGTATTTTGTTTGTAACGTTTTACTAATTTCACATTGTCATCAACTATGCAGCACTGTATAAGCCTCAAGAATATTATCCAGGGTCTGTAATAAACAGATACCATAACAACAATAATATAATAATCTATGTAAAAGAGGACGAGAACGATCCCTGTTTTCCAAAGTCAGATTACGTTTTCCCAGGGTCCTAGACAGGGTGCCAGGTTGGGACCACCTATTAGTGCCCTGAGTTCTATTTCTGTGGGTGTATGTGTGTGTTGAGTAAGTGTTGTCTGTATGACAGTGTGTGTAGGCACTCAGTGTTGTGTGTGTGTGGAGGAGACGGAGAGCTGCATGAGGTGCTTTGAGTGTGTCTGTGTGTGCTGATTGAGTGTTGTATGTGTTGTGACTGAATTGTGTGTGGAATTTCCACGTGCGGCTAGAGGGGGCACAGTGCTAGGAGGAACTTTATGCTGGGTCACAGAGAGCAGTAGGGGAGAAACAGAGAGAGGAAGCTCAGCTCTTCACAGAGTGTTGGGGAATGTGGCATCCAGGCAGCTGCTGGTAAGTGTGAGTCAGCGTGTGTGGTTCAGTCTGTAAGTGTGGGGGGTTCAGTCTGTGTGTGTATGTGTGTGTGTGTGTGTGTGTGTGTGTATGGGGTCAGTCTGTGTTTGTGTATAGCTCAGTCTGTGTGTGTGTGTGTGTGTGTGTATGGGGTCAGTCTGTGTGGGGAGGAGGGGGTCTGTGTGTCGGGGCATCTTTGTGTGTACAGGGTCAGTCTGTGTGGGGGGAACAGTCTATGAGTGTATGGGTCAGTCTGTGTGTGTATTGGTCAGTCTGTGTCTGGGGGGTCAGTTGGTGTGTGTGTGTGTATGGGTCAGTCATTGTGTGTGGTTCAGTGTGTGTGTGTGTGTGAAGGGGGTCAGTATATGTGTGTGTATGGGTCAGTCTGTGGGGGGGGCATCTGTGTGTGTATGGGGTCAGTCTGTGTGTATGGGTCAGTCTGTGTGGGGAGGCAGTCTGTGTGTGTGTATGAGTCAGTCTGTGTGGGGGGGCAGTATATGTGTGTATGGGTCAGTCTGTGTGTGTGCGGGGGGTCAGTCTGTGTGTGTGCGGGGGGTCAGTCTGTGGGTTTGTATGGGTCAGTCTGTGTAAGTGCCTGAGCTCCAAGAGAAATACCTCTCATCTCGTGGCCTCCCCTGTACCTGATGGATAGGCAGCCTTCTCAACCACCACGGAGCTGATTGTGCCAGCTACTCCCTGCAAGGTAAGATCAGGGAAAGGGGAATATTATTATAAAACATTTTTAAAACTCTTATGAAAGATCACAGTACAACCTCACAGACTTTGAACCACCCTCATACAGTACACTGCCACCCACACAGAGTACACCTTTGCATACACACACAGAGCACCCCTCATCCCACACATCATCTCATCCCCACATATATTTACCCCCACACAAACATACATACATACTTCACCGCATTACAAACCGAATCTCATATTTATATATATATATATATATACAAACATACATACATACATACATACACACATACATACATATATATATATGTACACACACACACTCATACATACACATTTTAGAACTGCCCCCCATACTTTTATCCCTGGTCCCGCATGTGCCCCCCCTAAACATGAATCCTGGAGACGCCACTGGTGGTAGATTTGCAGGTTCCCTAGTGGTCCACTGTCAAAGCTCCATCATCTGTACCAATATCAGGTACAGACCACTTTAAGGAAATAACTAAGAGTGCTGGATATAGTGCTTTGCGTCATTGAGAAGCTCTTTGGGGATCACGAGTGGTCTGTACCTGATATTGGTACAGACCACAATGCTCTCTCAACAAAGTGAGGAAGTCCTGGGCTATTACAGGTAGATCTTATGATCTCCCTGCCAGCTCAAGGTGGGGCCCTCTCAAAGCCGGGATCCTGTCTGAGCCCAGGTCCTAGGCGGCCAACATGGTCACTTAATGGCTAATCTGGCTCTGCTGTTTCCCTAGTCCGATAGATGAGACTAACGTGATGAGACTAACAATAGAACGCAAAGTGTGACTGACTGAGACAAAAAGACTTGAAGGCAACACGACTAAATTACTTCTAATCTGATTCCAGAACTATACCCAACTTTGGTATGATGTGTCTTGTACTATTTTATAAATGGTCTCTTGTCTTACACATGACATCTCTTCTTTTCCCCCTAATTTTATTCTTAGATGTGCCTAAGGTCTAAATGTGATAGAAAAAGAAATACAATAGTTTCAAAAATAGCACAGATTTTTTTTCAACCAATCACAGTTCGTTTAATTTTCTGTTTAAAGAAATGTGCGTGGCACACATGGCTAGCAGAAACAGTTCTCAAGACGTTGCAAACAGCTGTGCGAGTTGCGAAATACAGGACAAGGTGCGTTTTCCGATACTGAAGAGACTTTTTGATTGCACAACAATTACCAAGTCACAAGACAGTTTGCAGCAAAGCAATAACTTCAATATTTGCTAGTGTTTTGCTTTGTGTAATCCTTAGTGCAAAATTTAAATTGCTGACGTCATACAAAAATTGTATCACAGAGTGACAATGAATGGTGATTGGAGAAATGTAAAGAAGGTAAGTGCTGCGTGTAAGTTGGAGTGTAGATAATGGTGGTAGACGTGAAAGAAATGAGATGATGTGCCATAGAGACTGAAGAAAAGTGCACCAAGGTTTTAAGGAAACAGCCAGTGATACAAGAAGAGTTGGATAGACTTTTGTCTTTTAAGTTTTGCTAAATATTTTTGCAATATCCTTTCGTTGCTTTATTGCTTTTATGGAATGAAATAGAGGAGACTCGGGGCCAGCTCAATTTATATTCATAATTCCCGAACTGTCACCACTAACACAATGTAAAACCACCTGCCACTCTATCCATTAATGCATGAAAAATCATTAGACGCTTCTCCCCACTGTCCTTAAAGAAGAAAAAAAATCCTCTCTAGCATTAACTGCAGGGATCTGTCTGAACAAAATCTATGTGGTCTCTTACCTTCCCCCTAGCGCACTCACATCACCTACCCCCCTCCCTCCTTCCCACGATCAATTTTATGATACCAAGCATTGCTTGGTAATGTTTCCGGAATCTCTCTCTACACTGTTTAAAAATTCTTAATTAAGCAGATTTTTTTGTTTACACTTGAACTAATTGTACTTTAAAAACCAACAATAAACCATTATGCATTTTCCATTAGGCCGATATCGCTCCGGGGATGGACGCTAGTTCGGCACTATTAAGGAAAGAGAGCATCTCAATCCAGAGATAGGAAGGGCATGCCAAGCTCCGCTCAAGAGGGGAGCTTCCCACTGTCCTGCTATCCAGATCATAGATGGGGATAAGAGAGATAGAAAGGAAGAGAGAAACAGATACAGAACATCCGTCCATCTGCCCTCCATTGAGAAGATCTCTGGTTACCAGATAAATACAGTCATTTTGAGATGAGTTTATCTTCAATTCAGGCAAGTGAACAACGAAAAACTAATGTTATTTGTTTAGAAAGACATAAGCCATTTGGAAGCATAGGAAACGAAGGGACATTTTGGGATTAACACAAGTTTTGTAGAAGGTATGACTGGCAACGTGGACATTTGCTACTCTGAGTTCCTGCAATTTTAAGAGTTCTCTCAGTTGACTTTATGCTTTATTCATTTTTCTATTGATACATTAGGGTTCAGCTTCATTACACTAATCACCCATAACCACAAAGCGTTGTTTGTGTATAAAGAATATCAATCTTTCCATTGTAGCAAATGTATATCTTCTGTACTCTAGTTAAGGATGCCACCCATCCAATATAATACTGCTCGCATATCAGGATGAGCCAATAGTGACCCTAATGGAAAGCATATGGACAGAATTATTTTACACAAAGTAGAAGCCCCTTCCCCAATATTCACATGTTGAACCCACATTGTAAAATGCTTTGAATCACATCCCTAATTTTGAATAATATATTAAATGCCATACCACCATTGTTTTGTCTTATTTGAAATAAAAACAAAAAACCCTTTATAAAACAATTTTAAAACGTTGATATACAACAAAAAGTTCAAAATTGCAGAGTTTGCGTTTAATTTTAAGTTTGAAAGCACTGCCTTGGCAAGAATACACAACTCTAGAACAATGCAAACTGTACCCTTCCCCCATTTTTATGTTACCGTAAGATAACTTTATCATGATTCTAGAAAATTAATTAAAATATTACATACCTAACATACAATGTATATAGAGGGGATAGTTAAATTAACTAATCAAATATGACAAAAGAATAAAGCTCTTGTAACATTTTACCAAATAATTATTATTATTAAAGGCACCATCATGGCTTTTCCCAAGTAATTTAAACAATATTTCAAATTGACAGTTGTGATGACATTTGTATCCTGAGGGTTGAACTATTCTTGGAATTTGTAGATAACTTATGACCAACTGACAGCGATTTACATTATTAAGGATAATTATACAATTTAGAATAAAAATTTTTTATTTATGCAAATTATTTTGCCCTTTCAAAATACTGAAATTTTAACGGACATCACTGTAGAATTTATTAATGTGGACCTCTCGTGCACAAAATGTTCCGTGAGTTATTTACTAAATTGTTAATTGCTGAAAATTTATCAGGGAATTTAAATGTTCAGGCCAAAATATGTGAATTGTAAATGATTTCCAAGTTGTTTATAGATCAGCAAGATTGTTCGGTTAACGTCCTTCAAAATCCATGTAAAAAAAAAAATTCACAATGAAAAATTGATAATAAACAATATGTGACATTAAAAATAAATTAGATATATTTCCCACAAATATTGTCACAATACCATTACAAGGACCGTGAGCACCTGTTCACTGCGTGATGTTTCCCTCGTGTTGCCCACCATTTTCTAGTTTGGAAATACTGTTTGTAGCCTCTGGGACTTTTCTCTCAAAAGCGCCCTTTCTGGTGCATTTCCTACTCACTAGACTTGTTTATATTGTAGCAGTGATACCACCACATTTCTTGTACACGGATGTATCACATCAACACTGTGAAATGTGGACTTTCTAAAGGTGCGATCTAGGAACAATGGTGGAGGACAGAGGGCGATGGTCGATTAGTTATTTTGTGTTTACTATTTAAACATAAGAATGCATAAATACCCACTGTGTATTATCAATACATTGTAATGGTATCGGCAATATCCTTCTTCGTTCTGTTCACTTGCATCATGCCGTTGTCACTACTGATGCTAAACACTACCATGCATGGACCTTTTATGCCAAACCACTCCAGAGTCAAAATTATGATGCTATTTCCGTGGCTTCTTCATGACATTGATTTATGTGCACATTCTGATTTCACAGAAATTATTCAGGCCAATCAACAAGTGGTAAGAGCTATTCAAACATCCTTCTGAATGCATTGCCCCGTTGTGGTATCATGTATATCCCATAATGCAATTTTATTTGGCTGTGCCCTTTTTGTCATCTAAACCAGCTTGTCTTAATTACTCTTACCTCTGGTTACCCTTGGCTTAGATTTGGCCTTTCCATTTAGTGATCTCCGTATTCCTTGACCTAGGGTCATTCTTTGACTGTGTTGCTATTCACCTATCGTTAGACAAATCATTAAGTCCTCCTGTGATCACCACACTACATAGGTCAAAGAGCATCTTACATGTACCTAAATAAAATTA